GGAGGGGGAAATCTACCCTAGATAACGCATATTAAATTTCGATTAGTGATTGAGAGCTTTGAAGAGTCTGAGAACTTTTTCGACAAATAACGATGTTTTTAGATTTATTTATATTGAACATATAGCTCATGTGTTAAACAATCGAGACAGTAACAATATAATTCGAGGTAGTTTTCTACCTCTATAATTTTGTGCGTTGAATTGTATTTTTAATTGTATAATTACAGATAAAACAATTTTTGCATTTATTGTTAATTTTATATATCTTTTGATTTTATCTGAATACTTTTAAAAATATTGCATGCATTTCGGCTTGATTTAATTTTAATTTTGTTCTTGAAATAACATGCGAATATTAGTTTACAAAAGGATGTGTAATTTAATTTGAACCGCTTACTTACCAATTGTACTGTGGTTAAGTGCTTCTTCCACCATAAGTACTTTTGATATTCTGGGCCCATGGCTGCTAACATATAGTACGCGTACATGATCACATGTACCGCGTTGTTTATAAGATTGCCCAAAGTACCATGACCGCCTGCGATAAATTTCACACATATCCACGTTTCCAGAGGTGTGAGAGAATGATGATACAAATGCAGGAATGTCACTTGGCTATCTTTCTTGCGTAACACGAAGAATATCTGAAATTTCAATGAGTAATGATGTTACAACATTTTCTGAGGTCGTAATTTCCTGTCACTCAGCTTAGGTCTAGATTCATTGACCTATGATTTAAATAGGAACGGACGCGTTCCTATGCAAATCATTACGTTTAATTCATGTTAAAAAATGGATTGAAGACAATGTTGATTGTAAAACTATGTAAGATTAACTTTAGAAATTCAGAACTAGACATTCAATCAGAAAATTGGAATATTTTTCATTAGAAAAAAATATCAAAATAAAATCTTCGGACCGTGTCATTTGAACACACACACACACACACACACAATATTATTAAAAACAATTATTTATTTATTCTTAATATGAAAATAAATAACAAAAAGTTATTGATTATTTAATATGAAGTACATTTAGGAAAGTGCATGTGTGTGTGTGATATTTCACCGTTGTGATAATTCGGCAGATAAAGCTCTTATACCCTATATATATCTTCTCTAAATTATCTGCGTTCATTAACGGAGTGCAATGATTTTCTTCATTCGAGCACGATAGACGCGATAGTGGCAACATTCGCCGCTGTCAAAATTGAGCAACAAACAATGAAGGAGTTTGTTTCGCGATGATTCCTATGTTCGGTTGGGTTTCGTACGCGCGTTGTTGAAAGTCTAGCAGGCACTTTCTCTCTCGCGAGGGTAGGTAGATGGCAAACATCGCGAATTGTTGGTTCCTTCGGCCAGGATATCTAATGAACGATCGGCAATCGGCTGATTAAATCTTATCTGTTCCTTTTATCCGCCAGCATGATTGCGTGTTCGACAAGCAATTCGGCGCTGCCCGCGTTGTTCGCTTGCGCTAATAAAAACGATTGCTTAAGGGTTATTGCGTCGCGAGAAGGGATATACGAGCATACGTACGTGATTATCCGATTCTCGTGAAATAGGTTAACCATATACTCCGCCTTTTTCTTTACCTCACGATCTATTTATTATGCATACGCGTAAATATCTACCGCAGAAATACAAAATAATTCACTAGATCATGTGTCGTGAAGCACAGCAAGTAAAAGATATGCAATAATTTATTCTTAATTGATTGCATAGTTTGACAGAGAGAAAAAAAAATTTTGCACGAATTAAATTTTGAAAGTGCAAATGGGTAATAGAGTCTTGTTCTTTTATTTTAAACATTTGATTTAAATAGATTTTATATAATTCGGGATTTCTTATTCATTAAAATGTCGGATAATGAAATCTATAAAATTGTTTAAAAATTTAATGGTCGCGACATTTTCACTAAAAAGATGAGTAACACGATATATGGAGATAACACGATATATCGATGATATCTTGTTCTGTTTTTAAGAGCAAAGTGAACAAGCTCAAATAGATCTCTAGTTTATGTCGTAAAGATACATCTATATATAATTACATTTTATTTATTTTCGATTCATTATAAATAATAAGGGAAATCCTCTTTTGAGATATTAAAAATATTTTATTAATAAATAAATTCTTTCTCTGTAAATAGAAAGTGCGCCTTTTGATTAGATAATTTTGTTTTTTGTTTTAACGTTTTGAATGTTTTGAATGTTTTGATGACACCATTCCGAAGGAAATTATCAATAATGCTTATTATGATGTTTTGCGTGAGATATCCTTATCATATTCATTAGAAACCTACATAATACTTTCTTTATTTAGAATGTTGTAGTTATTTTAATATATTATAACATTTTGTTTCTAGTTCTACCTAATTACATGTTTATTCGATTAATAATATGTATTTATATATTTATTTTGCTAGTTTTTTTTATTTTGTTTTAAAACGCTTGAAGATAGAAATCTCTCTTTGAAATTTGTTGATTTGTGGTCTTTTGTATAATTATCCTCATTATTATCTGATACGTCACGCGAATGTATGAAAGTGAGTCATACCGTGTCAGCGAATTCCGTAAATTTGCTGATGAAGTACCACCAACAAAGATTCGCCATCCTCAGAGCGGACGGATTGTGGGAATAATCAACCGGTTGACACTTGTAACTGTAGTCAAGTAGCCATCCAGACATCAAGTGCTGTAAAAAATCGAGAACATCTAATTAGACGTATACCAATTAACTCCAATAAAACAATTTTGACTCTTTAACGTTCTCGTAAATCGATTAAATATCTGGTGTCTCAACTCATTTATTTCGATATTTACAAAAACTGTTTAAATGCTTCAACACAATAAGTTGATGAAATATAATTTTGTGTAATATCGGTTTGAGCAAACATTTGTTTTATTTCGCCATATTGGGTCACGAAAAATGGTAACTCTGCTTTCTCTGCGAGAAGAATTACGAAAGTTAAACATGTCTTACAAAATCAATACAATTGAAGAAAACAATAATACAATTTATAATATTTTAGATTAAATAGATATATTTTATAAAAAAATCTATAAAAATGTTCTTTATATTCTTTATAAATAGATATGTATGATCACTATTTATAATCGCTAATTGCGTCCTAAATAAATATAGCATTATTATTCCGTTAATTTGGTGTTTTATATTCGGTTATAAATGTTTGTGGTGAAGATTGCGCGTTATATTTCATTATCAGCTTTCGTATAGCAAGTGACTAATAAAAATATATAAATCGGTTTCAGGAGGAACTATGCGTTTTAAGGCCGACATGTTCCGTTTTGCATATTTTTGCATATTTTATCTGCTTAATATTTGTATAATAAATCTATTTTTTATTTCTTTCATACACAGATTTACACCTTCTTTCTCATGACTTGACAACTTTTCATTCAGTTTATTATATTTTGTTATTTTAAATAGTTTAAACAATACGTGAGAAAGTTGTACAAAATTTTTTACGAGAAAAAAAAGTCTTTTGAAATATTCTTATTTTTAGAAAGTATATATATATATATATATATATCCTATTTTTGATGAGAGAACATATACTTTGACATATACTTAGAGCTTCTTTTGTACACTTGTGATTCGATATACGGTCGAATGTTTGTTTTGACAAAATTAGTAAATCTTGCCCTCGTGTGATATGGATACTCGAGTTCAAGCGCTTGCTCCTAATTTTAGAATACTCTTTAAGCCCCTTAGACACATATTTATGATGTCAATATGGAACAATGTGAAACAAAAAATAAACTGGGAAAGTTAATAAATATAATTATAAAATAAAAGAAAGCATTCCAAAATATTTCCAAACATTTATTAAAAATTGGTAAATATATCTTTACCGATAGATATTAAAATATAGGAAAAGTAAAAAATAGAATAAAATGCGTAGAGGATATATATAGTACACACGCAATCTCTCTCATCAGAGGAAGTTATATATATTGTGAAATGTACAATATTTTATCTGCTATCGCGTAACTATTAAGTATTATTAGCATAATACTGAATATGGTTATGCAAAATGTAGGTAAGTAGCCAATTCAAGTTGAATTTTTTGATTCTATTTCTTATTTTGTTACGAAGATGATAAATCGGCATTTTATGTTTTACTAGTCGTTAATTATATGTATATGTATATTAATCAAAAAATTAAGGTTATTAATCTATCAGAAATTTTATTTTTTTTTTGTATAAAATAATAATTTTATACTAAACCGGTTTATATGATTTTTCATTACTTTATTAATCGCACTTGATAGAGATAACTCATGTGTGTTATTTTATTTGCTCTTGACGTAAAAAGAACAGCTGTTAAAGGATTATATGTTTTAAGTAAATTAAAATTATCACATAACTGAACAATAGAAATATCTTGAAAAATTATCCCATTTCGTGCATATTAAAAGGTATCCCGATTGACTCTCTAACAGAAACGACAGTTACTGCGGTTAGTCTCTTCTGCAAAATAAACTTTCGCGTAGTTGCAACCGTTCATTATCCATCCCATTGCGCATGAAAGATTGTTTCTTGTTGTTTGACCTTCCACACGAAATTTTACTTCGTATTTTTGATCGTACGCCGTAGGAATGGCGAACGAGGCTTAGCACTTTATGGAAAGTCGAAAACAGGATGTCTCGCTGCTAACAAAATGCGTATTAGTGCATAGGTCGATTAAGCAACGGCTGTAGTCGCTATGAAATATTATACTTCATGCATATTTCCTATCACGTTTCAGATCTTTGTAACAGATAATACGAAAATAATAAAGAGACATCTTTAGTATTTTAATATTAATTTATATATNTAAAAATCCATATGTATATAGTATATATGTATATGTCAAAATTTTTTGAATATTTATATATTTTAAACATATTAAATTAAGGATTGCAATAAAAACGCATATAATTAATAATGCACGCAGAACTGCATTATATTGATATGTGCAATTCGTAAAAATATTTAAAAGATGTGAGCCATATCCATTCTATGTTTGTAGCTGAAAAAAATTTGTTAAAGAAAATATATTAGCTAAAAAAAAAAATATACGATAATAGAAATGATAATAACTACAAAATATAAGTATATAAATTAGTTTGCGGTTAGTATCTTTTGCCATTTAAAAGATCGAAATTATTGATCATTAGCAAGTGGGGAAGAACAGATTGCGAAATTGATGTTCTATTGTAATTAGATTATTACAAAGCGGATGCTTTCATATTTTGGTAACCTTGTCCAGAACAAGGTTGTTAAAGATATTTGCTACGTCTGGTGTTATGCGATAATCAAGGGAGGTCAAGGTTACCACCAAAGAAGTAGAGAGATCGCATCTCTCTATTATTAGAATTGTAAATTTTTTATTGAGCAACTTTACCACTAAATTTATGAGCAGAATTAACGCGTTATATATACAATTAATTACAGCTCACGACAAAATAAAACTTTTGTTCAAAATTTAAAAGAGATATATGATTTCTTGTTTTTACGTCTGTATTATTTAAAATTTCTAAAAATATTTAAATTATTATATTTACACACAGTAGTTACATTCTCTAAATCCGAAATAAATGTATGAATTGAAAACGATATCGATTGGGAAGATTTGATATCTCTATTAAAATATTTTATGAGATCAAAATTTTTTTTGTTTAATTAATTTAACAATTTTTGATTAAGAATTTTAGTATTAGGATTTTTATCGATGCTTTGCTTTGAAATTATAATGAGCTCATACTGCTTCCTGTTTGCCCATTGAATCCAAATTAATTAAGCCTCCCGAGGAACGACTCGATTAAAAACATGTTTAACAATTTATGATAAATTTTTTTCCGTGGTTCTTAAATAGTCGTTTGTTCTTAATGTAATAGTTTAGAGCGTTATAACGTGGTATATGGTAGTGATATAAGACACTCATTTATCGTACGTAATACGATTGATTAAATAGTATATGTATTTAACAAAGAATGAAATTTAATTAAGGTACGTATCTTATGACAATTATCGCATTAAGTTGTCCCGCGATTGCGTTGACGCTCGCGCAGTATAATTGAAGTTCTAGGTCGAAGTTTCTTCCTCGATCTCCTCTTTCTCTCTTTGTCGACGATTACGCGAACTATTCATCATCTCCTTTCACCGTCACACTTTGTTAACCGTAACAATCTCACGAATTTGTTCGCGGCTGTCCGCTTCGATTCTTCATCGTCATCTCCGCGACTAGCGATCCAATCCTTTTCGATCTCGCGTATACGTTATACTATACCAATGACATACTTACATCGTGACCTATATAACAAGGCAGAAGTTGCTTGACCGGCTTCGATTGCCGACCGAGTCCTTAGATCCTGACGGATCGTTAGCGTTCATGAACTTTGCGCGTCGTGTGTATGATTTCCTGTATAGCGAGAATCTAACGATGGCTATAAGAAGACGCGAAAGTCAAGGGTGACTTGGACAAGGTCGTATCAAGCTCTCTCTTTCTCTCTTTCAGTCACTCACTCACATATACGTATTTTCTCTTTCTCATCCTTTCTTTCTCTCATTCTCTTCCTTGCTCTCGCAAGCACGTTTTCCCGCCCAAAGGTTGTATGATCGCAAATTACACGATTTCTAGCCCGTGTGCCTCTTTGTCGAGGTATCTATTTTCATGATTCTCTCGATAATCATTTCGTACTATTTTACATAATCATTGTCTCCTTCAACATTTAAAAAAATAATATTTTGTTTTACATTTATTTAAAATTTACCGATTTTTTAAATCGCCTGAAATAAAATAATTTCCCTATTCAATTTCATTCAATACGATATATTAGCTTTTACTCTCTTGCAAGGTATTTAACTTTTTACGTAAAATATGTAGATTTTGGATCGCATAAGACACTTTAAAAATTTCATTAAATTTATTAATATTATAGATTTTTTAGATGAGGCTAGATGTGTCATTTGTTAAATATATTTAAGATATTATATCCTTTGAAAACAACACGTATGTGTTGATTTTATATATGTATATTGATGAGAAATCATAAATTTAGTTTAGTTCCCCAAAAAGGTAAAATTAATTTTATCATGTGTTCGATTACATAATAGTTGTAGAAAATTCGTAAACATTACCTCGTACAGCATCCCTAGCGAGAAGACAACTTGAAACGCGTTATACGCTACCAGGATACTTTTGAGTTTGTAAGGCTTTCTGTTGGCCATTATACGCGGGCCGAATATGACAACGCCATATATATAAAGGAGCACGATGAGAAATGTCGGTACAGGCGAATCCATCAGAGGCCAGTCGCTGACACGCGGATCCGAGACCGTCGTGAGAATCTCCGTGTATTGATCTAAGGCCATTTTGACCAGACCCTGGGCGCCTACGAACGTCCTGTTTGAATCTGTCATCTCGAGCCTCAGTTCCGGCTCCCTTTCCGCTACTAATTCCGCTGCTGCCGATGCCATTTCTACAAAAAAGAATGTGAAAACTAATATTGTTAAAAACAAACTTTACGTTTAATTGAAAAATTCAAAAAAATTTTACATATCCATTAAATCAGAATTTTTAGACATAATCAGAAACTTTACGAAAGTTATCGTGTTAAGCAATTCCAGAATATTTTTATTTATAATGTGCATGGAGTAAATGATATACGCAAAATGATTTATCGGATTGAGTAAAGAGAGAAAGATATTTTACTGTGTAGATAATACAGGTGCAAGAAATATGTATTCTCTTTGAATACTATTAATACGTATGTGCTAATCACCATTATTTTTATTGCGAATCAAGAATGTGGAAGAGCAACAGAAGGATTAATATTTAAATAAAGTCTCATGGAATTTTAATTAATTGTCGGTCTCTGCATGACAATAATTAATAAATATTTAGCTTGATCCAGTTTATTGCCGGATATAGTCTGTACTTGCGTGGGTTGCGCTTGTTAGTTGTGCACGATCCAGTCTACAATTAGATTGACTTCTCGTTCAAGTCAGGTCTGGATATTTGCAATTTTTATTGGACAAGGCATTCTACAATTTTATCGAGCCGTCTATAGTTAGTATCTATTAATATAGTCCCTGATCGCGAAAATTATGCACCTTATAAATTATTAATAAAATTGAATAAATTAAAATGTGATTTTCGATGTAGAATAATTTACTTGAAAAAATCAATAGAATATTTTTAAGTCACTTTAATTACGTATATATATTTTCTTTTTTAAGTTTAAATTAAAATTATTAATATTCTAATCAATTTTAATTTATTTAAGGAACTTAACATTTATTTATTATTTTTTTTTTTTTTATGAATGTATGTTTTTCTTTCTTTGCATATACACGTATTGTATGTCATGGACTGACTGAATTGCATTCTCTCAAGCAATGTAATTTTGCAATCGGGCGAGATTCGCGAATAACTCTTTCCGTTCACGTTGATGCGCGCAATTACACATACGTGTAATCCTAATCGTCGATCGAAGCGAGTCTAGCTCGTATGAACATGAACGCAACGGGTCGGGGAGTTCGCCGAGGACGTCATTAAGAATCCTTGTGTTATCGCAAAGTCAGCATGCCACGCTTTCGCTATGACTTTATGTACGGATGTCAACCGGTCTCTTTTCCTTCCCTCCCTCTTTTGTCCTCATCCTCTCCATTAATCACTCCGTATTTTTTTTTCTTTTTATCTTGTTTTGCACATAAAATAAATCACTGTGTCTTTGTCTTATAAGCGAGCAACGATATCAGAGGATTGCAAATATATATATATATATAACATCATATATATCTAATATAATTATTATATATGTGGTATTAATCGAATTCTAATATGTCAGTTTCTATATTCAAATGAACCGAGCAGATGTACGCATGATTAGCGTTAAATCGCACGCATCATCATCATTCAATGGCTAACGATGCTGATTTATAACGATTTCTCGACAGAAGCTAAAACTTTCGGACAATATGATTTTAATGCCAAACACAAACTAATATGAATCAGCAGATTTAATCTTATTATATTCAATATAATGTACATTCTTTTCAAATTACATGTCACACGTGCGGCTGCAATTTTTGAAACAAGATGAGAAGAGCAAAAATCAATAGCCAAAGAAAAAATAAATCATAGTTCTTTTGGCTCGTCGAAGATTATCTCTGTATTTCTCTAATAACTTTTATT